AAAATCACTTTCAGAAATATTTTAGATACCATAGACCTTTATGGAAGCCACCTATGAAGAATAAAAACTTATTTCCAATAGTACTTTTCATGAATGATGTGTGTTTTCAATGGAAATGACTTCTGGCTAAGTAAACATAGCAGGCTGGCTTGAGCAGACGTAATCAAGAGAATAGGAAATGCATTTGAGATTAGTATTGTAGATAGAGAAGATGATCCTGATACTAAATTGAGTGTCTTTGACAGCTGTTGTTTTGTTTCTTTTTTTTTTTTCTTTGAGTTGGAGTCTCACTCTGTTGCCCAGACTGGAGTGCAGTGGCCTCTTCCGGCCACCACAGCCTCGACCTGCTGGGCTCCGGCGATCCTTCCGCCTCAGCCTTCGAAGCAGCTGGAACTACAGGTGTGCGCTATCACACCCGGTTAATTTTTTGATTTATTGTAGAGATGAGGTCTCACCAAGTTGCCCAGGCAGGTCTCGAACCCGCAGTCTCAGGCAATCCACTCACCTCAGCCTCCCAAGGCGTGGGATTACAGGCTGAGCCACCAAGCCCAGCTTTGTTTCTTTGTGGCAGAATTCTTCTCCTACAATGTCTTATGGACAATCCTAATGCACGGAAGAGATACTGGTAGAGCTGCTCTAAATAGAGCAGGGATCAGGGCCCTGGACCAAGATCAAACTGCCCATGTTTCTCTCTGCCTTTCTTTTGCTCTCTTGGTACAACCCTCTGGGAGTCCTCTGGTTCCCTGGGATCCTGTCCTGATTTAGTCTAACTCCTTGACTTTGCAGTTGAGGATACTGAGGCACACACCTAATTAGCAGATGGGCTGGGCCCAGTATTCAGGTCTTCTGTTTCCTAGAGCGAAGAAGTCTCTATCATACCATGCGGCCCGTTTTCAGCTCCTGAAATTAGTTCCAGACATGAACATTTTTCCTTTTAACCAAATAGAGAACGTTTCTTTATCTATGTCCACAGAGACCAGGAAGAGTTATTGTATAAAATCTATTTGTGATCTATGTACTTTTAAATACAAACTGATTTTTATTAATTTATTTTTATTTTTTAGAGATGTGGTCTCACTACGTTGCCCAGGCTGGTCTTGAACTCCTGGACTCAAGCAATTCTCCTGCCTTGGCCTCCCAGAGGGCTGGAATTACAGGCATGAGCTATCACGTCCAGTCTGACAAGCTGATTTTTAGAAGTGAATCCTATTTTTCTGTTGTCCCTAAAGATGAGTTTAGAGAGACATGCTTCTGAGAAATACCTTCAGTAGGCAAAGTTTAGAATATTTAGTCATAAAATGGTGACCAGCTCACAGCAAAGCAAAACTAATGGTTTACTGCTGCCCGTTTCACCCACTACCTGTTCATGACACTTTTGATGCTTTTCTGCTCTTGGCATTGCAAGGACCTATACTGCATTCTCCGGTCTATAGGATACTCTCTCATACTGAGATTACTTCTTCTCAATTTTAGAAGCCCATACTTTGCCTCATATAAAAATCTCAAACTAGCCAGTTGCTGTGTGGTGCATGCCTATAGGCCCAACTACCTGGGAGACTGATGTGGGAGGATTGCCTGATCCCAGGAGATCGAGGCTGTGGCGAGCCATGATCACGCCATTGCACTCCAGCCTGGGCGATGGAGTGAGACCCTGACTCAAAAACCAAAAAATAAAAGTCTTGTGTCTCTCCTATACCCCCATTGCTTTCTATGTGCCCCACTAGGTAAAGAGTCTGGTTTTTTTTCCACATTCCCTTCAGCCAAGAAGATTCTACTGAGTTTTACTTTTTGGGTTAGCTTTTTAGAAAGATAGGCATTTTTATATAAATATGAAAGAATAATATGATTTTATAAATCACACTTCTCTCCCCAATTCTGATATGTTGGTTTTTGAAGGGGGTAGCATGGGCATGTGGAATGGTTGATAGTCACTGAAGTAGGGATCTATTTTCTGCTTATTTTTTTTTTCTTGGTTTCTAAAATGTCTAATTCTGATAAAAATAAACCTATCAAGGTTTGTTGTCATCTAAAATATGATATGTATATTAAAAATTCCCTGTGTAAGTTCAATTTGACATATTAAGTTTACTGTTGAGATGTGTTATCTTGTCTCTGTAACACATTTTTATATTGCTTTATCCTTATTTCTCATGCTCTCTATCTACATAGGAACATATTTTTCAATCATCATCAACATTTCTTATCCAGTAATAGGATTTAGTTATATATTAATCACTAAGCAATCTTGACTAGTGTGATCCACTCTGTGCAGTTAGAAGATTGTTCTAGCAAAGCGTGATTTTCTTATAAAGCGAGCTGGGAAGGGAACTGCCAAAGGATATCAGGGTAATAAAACATGACATATTGGTGTCACTTCTGAGATTGTATTATTTTTAATCACTTAGCCTTTCTATGTGTAGACAGATACATATTTTGTTTCCAAACTTGAAAGTGAAAAAAATGTCTATTTTATTTTCTCTAAATCAAATTGAGCCAGCTTCAAGCCTCATCCTGCCTGGGAGGTGCATATCTTAGTCATCCCTGGTGTTTTGCATGCTCTCTCAGGAACATGCAAAGAGTTTTATACAGAGAGAAGAGTAGGGAAAGACTTCTCTGGTCTCCACTGTATGCCAGTTGCTATGCCCACTGTCCAAGGCACCAACGTCCCTTGTAGCCACCCTGGTACTTGTAGGATGCTTTGCAGCACTTTTGGGGATAGCAATCTTGCTAGGGCTGGAGGGTTTTGGGCCTGGGATCCAGCGTCTCTGGATACCACAGCTACTTCCCTCTGAGGTTTAACCATCCCTAGCTGTGCTGCTGGGAAGAGAAGTGCAGGTCTCCATGACTCAGGAAATCCACAACCTTTGGTTCCTTTTCAAAGTCTTGGACGGGACAAGTCCTTGTTCCCTTGGCTCTCACCTTCTGCTTCTCTTTTATTTCTGAAGGCCCAGGATTTGTCTTTCTTCTCAACCCACAGTATAGTAGTCTCTTTAAAATGAAATTTTGGAAGAAAGTTTGTCTTCAAGCAACAAAAGCCTCCCTGAGGTAATGGAACACAAATACTTGTCTATCTTTTTTTTTTTTTTTTTGAGTGAGGGTCTTACTCTGTGACCCAGGCTGGAGTGCAATGGCATGATCACAATGATCATGGCTAATGGCAGCCTCGAATTCCTGGACTCAGGCAATCCTTTCACCTCAGCATTCTAAGTAGCGGGGGCTATGGGTATATGCCACTATGCCCAGCTAATTTGTTTTTGTTAGTGACGAGTTTTTGCTATGTTACCCAGGCTGGTCTCAAACTCCTGGGCTCAAGCAATTCTCCTGTGTTGGCCTCCCAAAGTGCTGAGATTACAGGTGTGAGCCACCATGCCCAGCTTGTCTACCTTTCTTGAACCAGGAGTGGGGTAACAGGAGTGCAAAACCCAAATAAATATCTCAGTAGATTCTCCTATATAATATTTGACATGTATTTATGGTATTAAAATATACATAATACCTAACATGATGATGGTATTAAAATATACATAATACCTAACATGATGATGGTATTAAAATAATAGAAAACTTCCTTATTCCTTATGTTAATCGTATTTGGAAATTCATTCCCTAATGTTGTGTTGTCTTATATATACTTGATACTCAATATTATCATCATCCATGGAGTTAACCTTTCAAATGAACTTGGCCTGCTCTTCATCTCCTTCTGTCAGTTTTTTTTTTTTTTTTTTTTTGAGTCAGAGTCTCACTCCATTGCCCAGGATGGAGTGCAGTGACACACTCATGGCCACCCAGCATAGACCTGCTGGGCTCAGGCGATCCTTCTGCCTCAGCCTTCCACGTAGCCAGAACTACAGGTGTATGCTACCAAGCCCTGCTAAATTTTTTTGATTTATTGTAGAGATGAGGTCTTGCCAAGTTGCCCGGGCTGGTATTGAACTCATGGGCTCAGGCAAAAACCACTTGCCTCGGCCTCCCAAAGTGCTGGAATTACAGGTTTGAGCCACCATGACCGGCCTCCTATCAATTTTTATCTTGAACTAGATAGAGGTGAGAGAGGCCTGAATGCTTTCTCCATGCCATGGAGTTTAGTAACAGATATTTGTCCCATAGATAGAATGGTAGCTTTCAAATTGTATTAGCAAGGAGTTTGAAATTGTCCAAGAAGAAGGAGGGAAAGGGAGCTCAAGGGTACAGGACTCTAGGGACTCTTATCCCCATTTCAATTATACCATTTGTGCTTTGTTTCGGTTTTATTGCTTATTTTATGTATTCAATTCTATATGCAATTTTGGCTTAATGAAGGATTCCCTTGCTATAAACAATTTGAAAAGTATCGAATATATGCAAGTATATGCCTAAAACATTTGAAATTATCTTGTGCTTTGTGTTAAAGGTCTTTGTTTTTCAGTATTGCAATTTTATGGTACAGAAATACTCTGTTAAATACTCTGTTGCTTAATTGTCATTTACATGCGAAGATCTCTAAATGATGGGCCAAGTTTAGGGATAGTACTGTATGATTTGTTTGGACTCCTAGTTCCTTTTCTGGTTAATAGGACATCTATTGTGGGTGGTTGTTGATAAAAAATATTGCTGGTTGCTATACTGAAACTGTGAGTTCTTACTAGTCACCATCATGCAGCCTGAATGTTCACTATACAGAACAATATAGTTTATAGAAGGCGTCAAATAGCTCCAATCTGGCAACCCCCTTGCGTCCCCTCCCACTCTGGGAGCTTTTCTATCCTCCCAATAAATCCTGCTTTCTCAAAAAAATAAAATAAAATAAATAGCTCCAATTTAAGTACTAAATTATGTTTACATTTAACCTGAATTTTGAAAATAAACTCTTTATTGGTAGATTTTATGACTATATTGATCGTCACATACATTTATTTCTAACCACTGGTTCTTTTCAAAGACTTTAATAACAAATTACTCAACTTGAATAACAAATTATTATTCAGCATCTTTATAAATCAGACAACGGAATCTAAAAATAATTTTAAATAGTTAACTTTATTTTATGTCTTGTCAAAATAACATATATGCTGTAATATTCATTGACATTAGAGATCCCATGAGACAAGTTTAAATTGAATATTCATATTAAATATTTTGTAATGACATTTTTATCTTAGAATATTAAGTTTTTGCTTGTTAAAGACTTGGTTGAGTAAAATTATTTCAGTGTCAGACATTTTTAGGAACACATATAATTTTGTAGCTTTCAGAACAGAAAGTTCCCTTTTTACTCTATTCTGCTACTATTATTCTAGTATACAGACTTAAGAACAGATAGTGTCTATTGCGCAGTATAAGAGTTACACTTTTTATTTTTCTTCTATTAGTATCGAATACTAAAATCAGAGTATTCAAGTTTAGAGATGGTTTTTTCATTAGAAAAGTTTGTGCGGTCAATCCGAGAACTAGGACTCCCAACCTTGCTCAGCCAGGACTTCCTACAAAAAAAAAAAAAAAATAGAAATTAGCATATAAAATATATGTGGATCAACTAAAATGATCCCACAATAGGTATTAATGGGAGTTTACTTTTACTAAGTAACTTTTGCATATAATGTGATATATACAGTTGTTGACATTGAATGTATCATTCTAAGAATACCACAGAGTATAATATATAATAAAATATAGACAAAGAAAAGCTAATAACAAGTAAAGCACAGTCTATTCCTGGTGATTTCACATTAGGGTTATTTCTCCCTTCTTAAAACACTCCGAGGTCATTATTACCTCATTCTTACACTCAAAATATAAAGAGCTTAGTAATAAAAACAATTCACCACTGTTTTCTCTTGGTAGATGTTTTATGTTTATATGCTTACACACACACATAGATAAATGGAGGGAGGGAGAGAGAGACAGAGAGAGAGAGAGAGAAAGAGAGAAAGAGAGAGAATGAATTACTGAAAGATAAACATGATTTTCCAAAAATATTAAAATAAAATTAGATGGGCATTTAAAAAATCTACTAAAATACTGCTTCTTATCACAAATTAGCAAAGTGACTGAATTAAAGGACACATTTAACATTCTAAAAATACTTTTCTGCTTATTTAGTGCAATGGATTGTCTTAATTTATTAGTGATATCCATGTATCTAATGTATGCATTGGGTATTTACCTGAGATGCTTCCTATAGATGTTCAGGCCTATTGTATATTGCTGATGCCTCAGATAATACCATTGAGGACTTTCCAGACTCTTTCTACCTATCGATAATTAGTTGGAAAGGCTGTTTTATACCAATGATGGCTGTTTTCCTAGCAGCTGTTGTAGAAACAGAAGTTTCCTCAAATCTCCAAAGTTATTCTAGGTTGTGAAACTAGTGCTGTATATGGTTGTGCAACAATGTGATATGTAACAATCTTATATAGTCTTGGATTCAAAATATTTTCTAGGAAACTTAAAATTATTCTTAATAAGCCTAGAAAAGAATTCTAATGATTCAAATTGTCATTGTGCTTTTTTTTTTAATCAATATTTTTTATTATGATATTGTGGGGTACAGTTAAGGGTTAGGCATACAAATATGCTTCGTTCAGGCACCCTTGTTGATAAGAGGTGTCTCCCCATTGTCATTGTGCTTTAACCCTTTCTTTGGTTTTTATCTGTGACAGTTTGCTGAATGAGATTTTGACTTTTCTTCCTTTTCTTTAATTCAGTTATAGTTGAAATATTAAAAATGGAAATAGCGGCCAGGCGCAGTGGCTCATGCCTATAATCCCAGCACTTTGGGAGGCCGAGGTGAGAGGATTGCCTGAGCTCACAGGTTCAAGACCAGCCTGGACAACTTGGTGAGACCTCATCTCTACAATAAATCAAAAAATTAGCTGGGCATGGTAGCGCATGCTTGTAATTCCAGCTACTTGGAAGGTCAAGGTGGAAGGATCACCTGAACCCAGCAGGTCGAGGCTGCGGTGGCCATGAGCATGCCACTGCACTCCAGCCTGGGCGACAGAGTATGACTCCAACTCAAAAAAAAAAAGGAAATTGCATGTGTTGAAGAACGAAACTCAGTTTTTATGAAAAGGAGATAATGACTCTTTCAGGTCTCCTCTTGCTGTGGGAGCTTTTCTGTCTTCTTAATAAATCCTACTTTCTAAAAAACAAAAAAAAAGGAAGAAAGAAAAGGAGATAATGGCTTTGATTTTGCTAGTCAAATCTTCTTGCAACATTCTAGAAAACAAAGGCCACAAACAGTAATGAAAGCTAGCATTTACTGAGCACTATTTGCTCAGCATCATGCTAAGTTCTTTACATGTGTTATCCTTTATTCCACACATGAACCCTGTAAGTCATAATCTATTACTCCCAGATTACTGATGAGGAAAAAGAGAAACATGAGAGTTAAGTAATTTGCCTACGGTGGTTAGCAGTAGTGGTTGTGAGGATTCCGATTCTGAGTATAGTCTGAAGATACAGTAAGTAGATTTTCTGACAGATTGGACGTGGGTGTGAGAAAAGGAGAGGAGTGAAAGATGACACCAGAGTTTTTGGTTTGAGTAACTCACTGGATAGGGTTGTCATTTACTGAAGTGCAGAGACTGTGAGAGGAGCAGATTTAGGGGGAAGGGAAAGAGCAGAAGAAGCTCAGTTTTGGATTGCTACACTTGAGATGTCTATTGGGCATCCAAGTGAGATGTTGAGTAGGCAGCTGGATCTACGAGTCTGAGTAGAAGAAATAAAATTTGGAATTTGTCAGCAGACAGTATTGATGACCCCAGTCATAAGATTGACTGGGATCATCAAGAAAAGGAATACAGATAGAAAAGAGTTCTTATGACTGTACCTTTGGGGTACTCCAATGTTAAGAGGAAGAACCAGCAAAGGAGGAGAAGAAAACATCCAGTGAGGCAGGAGAAAAACGGGTATCAAGGGAGCCAAATGAAGCCATCAGGAAGCAGGGAGGGATCAACCAGGCCAATGCTGCTGACAGGTCAAGTGAGGTGAGAACTGAGAATCAACCATTGTGTTTAGCAATATGGAGGTTACTGGTGACCTTGACAAGATCAGTTTTGATGGCATGAAAGCTATATTTGAATGGGCTCAAGAGAATGAGAAGAGAGGAATTGAAATCAGTGAATCCAAGAGTAGGACTAGTGGGCATAGGAACTATAATGACTAATTCACTTGAACTGATAATTCAATGTACTGATCTAGTTTAGAGACTGACTACCTACTTGTATCTGGTTCTCAACACCATCAGGCACTTCTTCATCAGCCAAATGTATGGCCAAGGAAAAATCTATGTCACTGGGTGGGGCAGATGGTCATGGTGTTGGGAGATTGAGTTCTGTTTACCTTGTGGGGTGAATGGCCACTTTGTGTCATGCTGTCTCTCTCTGTTGCTAGAAACCACCTTGCCTGTCTAACCTACTCACCTAGGTGTGTTCTAATCATCTGTCACTTGACAAACCCTGAGATTTTACTCTGTCATGCTGCTCTGGAAGTCTGTCCTTGATAGGTGTGGCTCAGGTCTAGAGATGGCAGAACTAAGAGTTCTTCTAGTAAAAAATAATTAGTCCCAAATTTTAAAAAAAATTATGTTTAATTATTGAGGATACATATGGAATAGGAGATATATATGTGTGTGTTTCTGTGTGTATACATATATGTGTGTGTGTGTGTGTGTATATATATATATATATATATATATATATATATATATATATATGTAATCATTCACCCTTAGTGTGAAAGAGAGCTGCATAATCTAACAGTACCAGTTAATTTAATTCAATAAATATTTAAGTAGCACTTTATACAAGTCATATCTTAGATATTAGAAAGCAAACATAGAGATTTAAAATGGAGTTCTTTCCCTCAATATTTTACAATCTAATAGAAGAGTTTGGAGAATAACAAAAATGACTATAATATAAGGCAAAATGTGATGGGCAATGTGATTTATATCTAAAGGGAAAGAATTGGGGGTTTAACTCTGATCAAGGTACTCAGAGACACTTTTATGATAGCAATAGTCTTTGGGTTAAGTTTTAAAGAAAATACTAGTGGTATTTTTTCAAATCTTAGAATGAGTAATGCCAATTTAAGCATGACAGAAAACCAAGAAGCATAGGAAAAGTATCGACAATGTTAACTAACTTAAAAATGTAGAGTTTGATGACCAAAAGTAAGTCTTAAAGCCAAAACAAATAGCAACCTGAAAAACTTGTTTGCAATTTTCTTACTATACAAAGAGCACTAAAAAAATCAATATACCACATAACATATGTGGCCATACAATAGAAAAATGGGCAAAGAACACAAGCAGGGAAAGAAATAATATGTAAAAATATTTCCACTCTAACCCATAATTTAAAAAAAATACAAATAAACCAAGAATAAGACACCATCTGTCACTTATAAAATGGCAAAGATGTAAAAGTTTGATGATATCCAATAGTGGCAGTTAGGATGTAGAAAAAGAGTCACCTTTCTACATTGTTGATAGAAATGCAAATTTGTACAGCTTTTTGAAAGGGCAACTTGGTACTACCTAACACATTATTAAATGTCCATATCTTAAAGACATACTATCATAGAGAAAAGACCCTGGGATACAGGCTCTGAGATGATTAGCACGCAGGAAGTTAGGGAGGGCTCTCAGGTTTAATAACTTATGGGAGGCAAGGGAAGAAGACAAGATTGGACTGAGTGGAAGTTAAGCTGTGATGCAGTCTCAATGACCATCTTAGTCAACACACAATGAGCTCTGATGCTGGGAAGATTCTTCAGAGTTGTCCTGAGCTAAGGCAAGAGGGCTGGGTATTTATATCCCCCATGTTAGCCAGTCATTAGAGGAGAGCTGCCCAAGGATGAGGGTGTGAGCTTCAGTGAGGTGACTTTCTTTTGCTGAAGCAATTCCTGAAGAGGGCTGATAGCTAAGGGCCATCTTCCAGCAGCACCTCCAGCACTGGGGGGAACGAATCCTTTCATCCCAAAAGGGAGTCTAAGTTGTCCATTATAGTGTCCACCACACATCCTTTCACAAGTGGGAAAAGAGAATGGATTGAGGACATAAGCAAAGGGGTGGTAATTGGAACAAGGTCCAGGGCAATTAGAAGAAACAGTATCAAGAGATAGGTAGGCTGGGCTCGGTCGCTCAGCCTGTAATCCCAGCACTTTGGGAGGCCGAGGCTAGTCGATTGCCTGAGCCCATGGGTTCGAGACCAGTCCGGGCAACTTGGCAAGACCTCATCTTTACAATAAATAAAAAATTAGCCAGGCATGGTAGTGCGTGCCTGTAGTTCCGGTTACTTCAGCCAGTCTAGTCAATTCTTTATCTAGCTCACTGGCAGAAGGATCACCAGAGCCCAGCAAGTCGACGCTGGGGTGGCCATGAGTGCCCCTGCACTCCAGCCTGGGTGACAGAGTGAGGCTCCAACTCAAAAAAAAAAGGAGATAGGTAGACTCATTAGGTATAGAAAAGAAAGAG